GACGCTACTGCACAGTAGTAACAAGCTACTGCACAGTCTGCATCACTGGGAAGCCATGCAGGGACGCCACTCCACAGGTATGCTGGTTACTGCACAGTCATTTAGTACGTGGGTATGCAAGTTCTAAATGACAGCACAGTAACAATGTAGACGTGGCCTGTTTTCTGTGGAAGATGGCCCTTGCAGTATCTAGTGTTCTTGATGTCTTGCAGCCTCAGAATACTGTGGTGGTTCCTCGGATGGTCCTAAAGCTGGAAGCAGTAAGAGATGCTGGAAAAACATGGTCATAATCCAGAGCTGCCCCCCCTGCTGACAGTGCCTGACGCCTTGGTAGCAGAGGTGCTGTCTGTAATGCACTGGCACCGCTACTGACCAGGCCTTTTTGTCTGTTTTAGGGGAAGCCGTGTCTCTAGCAACGCTACAGTCCTATGTGGAGGTGGCCATGGAACTGAAAGGTATGGCTAATGTTCTTCAGCGCTGCTATGGTGCATACGGTGCTTAGGCCCCATATCCTGTCCTCCTGCAGGAGAGAAGCTGGAGTGGGCATTTGTGCAGGGGTGAAACCCTGGCCAAGGTTCGTTGATTCCACTGGGGTCAGAATTTCCTCCATTTAATACACCGCCCTCCCCCTTGCAGGCTGCTCTACCTTCTCTAGGCTTCACACAGACCATTACATAGAGACCCAGGTCCCTCCCAGACCCCTGCCTTCTGCTCTTATACTCCTGGAGAGTAGACCTGGGGGGAAATGGAATTGAGTCAGGCTAGATGAATCTCCCCCTGCTGAGTTAAGAAAAATTTAAAGCACCTTTTCCCTGCCCCAACCCTGCCAGGAGACTTTGTGGAGCTGAAGATTGCATCTGTCAAGTCAAAATCTGTTCCAGTCATGCTGCTGTATGTCCATGGCTCCATCAACTTCAGTGGCACTGCTGGGGATGACACCCTTGTAACCGAGAGCACAATGACATGGGAAAGGCCAGTTTGAGCCCTCCACCACAGGGCCTGGCACTGCACGGGCAGAAGGGCCAAGCTTTGTCAAGCATGGACCCTTGTTGTGGCTTCCATCAGACAGACAATAAGCAACAAGGAGCCCTGCTGAAGGCTGCATGCCCCACGGCTCCAGGTCAAGAAGGCCACCAGTGCATGATGCCCAACAATGGAGTTGGGTGTTACAAGGTGTGGAGCACGTGAGCAACACCTTTCAGCAAGTGCTGCGTACCAAAGCTACGGCACATGAGAAGGCGCCTATGAGTGCTAGCTAGCTGTGGCTTAAAAGAACAGCTCTTTCTGCCTGTACAAAGGAGCCGACGGCTGGAGGCGGAATTAGCATGAGGCAGATGGGTGATCTGCCATGGCAGGTTGTGCCCCCACAAAAGGATTCGAATGGACAGGGCCCTCGGGGGATGAGCACGCTCTTGTGCTGTTCAGCAGAGCTGCACAAGTAACACACAACGGTGGCTGAGGGTTATTCTTGTAGACAAAGCTCCTGCGTCATCAGGGGATCTCTTAATAGATAGAGGCAGATGGTATTTGTCCTTGGAGAGAGCACTGTGCCTCCTTCCAAAGTGGTGGTTTTCAACCTTTTTTTGTACCAGGATCCATTTTTAAGCATTGATGGCCAGTCCTGGCCAAGTGCCCCTCACTCCCGACCCACTGCCCCCCGCCTCTAGGCCCTAGCCACCCAGTGTGTGGGGCAGGGTCTGGGGCATGGGGGGCCCCAAGCAGCCCCTTGCAGGCTAGAACTCTGCCAGCCTGTAAGGGAAAACCCACCGTTTCCCATTTTTTCCTTTAAAGGAGAATCCATTTTAAAGTTTGTTGGCCCATTTTTAAAGCTTGTTCACGACCCTCTCATATTTTTGGGACCCACAGGTTTAGAAGCGCTGTTCTAAAGCACCTGCCCATGGTTGTTCCTTCTATCTCCTCTGTCTCTTGCTCTTCAAGCCCATTTCCACACTTGGCAAGACTGCCAGGCCTTGACTGGGCTTTCTTGCTTCTTTCACCTCGTCCTCATGTTGTCCAGCATCCTGGATGTGGACGTCGTCACAAGCTCCACCAGCAGCAGTGACCTGCTCTGTCACGGGGCAGAGATGTTCCTGTAAGGAGTGGGGTAGGCCAGGAGCCTAGAGTGGGAATTGAAGAGGTGTCCATGCAATGATGGGTTTGGTACTTTCTGGGGTTTCCAGACTCTTAAGCTTGGTGAAGGGAATGGGCCCGGGTGCTCTGCTGATTGTTGTTCTCTGTGTGGAAGGAGAATCCTAGAAACAAATAGGGAAACCTTCAAGGACTGTTGTCACCGGAATAACCATGCTGTTTTGGCTCACCTGGATTAATTGAGAACTTCTTCCCTGGCTCTTCAGATCCTGATCCTGTGACCTCACTCCATTCCTGTGTGAGCTCATGGGCGCTGCCATGGCAGTCCTGGCCCCTCGAGCCCAGGGGCAAAGTCTTGTCCAGGGTGAAGTCCAAGGCAAAGCTCCCAGCGAGCTCCAACTGCATGTCTGCCACCTCACCAAGGGCAGCCAGATGAGGAAATATGGAAACCCCCTCTGCCTCCCAGTTAGCCTGAGCTACTTGAACTTGAGATGTCATCCTTGGCATCACAGAGTGGGTCCTGATCTGTCAGGCATGAATGCAAAGCAAGGGAAGGCAGTGGTGTAGCTGAGGAGAAATGGCATCCGGATGAGAGGGCTGCCCTTGGATCCCAAATGGGACTGTAGCAGCAATCCCAAGCAGCAAACTCCTGAGCACAGAGAAGAGGGGTAAGCCAGGGGTCCTGGGTCATTTCTGTGCTATGAGTATCAGCCCATTGTTTGCCCGTTGTCTCCCCCAGTGCCCTCGTCCTTAGGCTTGAGCAAGCAGGAATCTGCACCTTTGGAGCAGTCCAGCAGGATGGAGCGTGTGCTGGGGAGTGGGGACACTGCTACGTCCGTGAATAGATCTCCTGACTGAGCGAGGTGGATCGCAGCAGTGCGCACCACTGAATATGCTGCAAATGCAAGGACCAGGGCGGCATGTTTCTCTAAACAGGGTCATGGGTAAAGTGTCTCCAGCAGGGCACGGACATAAATTACCATGTAGGAGGACTGGGTCTGGTACAGTCCAGGCCACAACAGTAGGCATTGGAGGGCTGGAAGGAAGCAGATGGAGATCTGGATCCCAGTGCACCTGCCACATCTCTGGGCAAGGCAGTGCCAGGGGTAGGTAATGGCATGTGTGCTGCAAGATCCTTCTGTCTCTTGGGAGACCTTGGGCGGTGGAGGAGATCGGAGACCAGCATCTTCATCCTCGGATAGGTGCAGGAGCCAGCGGTTGTCAGAAAGAGCCAGATTTTCCCCAGGGGATTGACCTGCAGATGATCCTGGCAGTCCTGTAGGCATGCACGTGCTTGTGGCAGTAATTTCCCACGTTAATACCAGGCCAGGTCTGGAAAGAGAGCCAGGAAAAGCAGGAGGTGAGATCCATGCCCTGCTTCCATCTCACCTCCCCACATTGTAGACCAGCTCTGTTGGGACTATTAGGACCGGCTCCCTTTATTTCTGGATAGAAGAGCCCACCCAGAGGCTGTGCTAGGTGGAAGTGGCTGTGCAGCAAGGGTGCTGAGCTCTGACGGCTGCTTTCCTCTTTGGGCACTATCCTCTGGGGAGCTGAGAGCCTTTTGAAAAGGGCTGAGGCTTCTCCCTTGATGAAAGTCAAGGTTACTTCATCGCAGACTGTTTTATTGTTCCCTTGTGCTTCCCTTACTGGTTTGGTGGGTCCACTTCGGGAGTAGCCTTGTGGTGAAACTAGCTGTTCGGGGCAGAGACTGGCTCTAGCTGCTGCTCCAAGATGCATCATTGAGAATACGGTGCAGTTCAGGATGCCAGGGCAGTTTCCTCCGGGGGAGGGCATTAGTGAAGGTCACCAGAATTTTCCTTTCACAATGTGATGCCTACTGATAAATCGTGATGGCTTATACAATCAGTAGCTATTTCCACGAATGCTTGTATCCATACGCCAGAGTTCTTGGAATAAGGCACCCTGGAGATCCATTTTCATAAAATCCCACGTCCTCATGCTCATCCCCCTCTTTTGCCTCCAGCTTGGGGAAAGATTTGAGATGACTTTGTGGTGGGAGATGAGAAGCAGAAGACGTGCCAGATTAGATGTGCCAAGTAAAACAGCTGCCTGGTGTTGATTTAGGGCCATGTTTATGCATCTCATGTTTCAGATCATGATACAAACCCCTTGTGCTTTGCTGCTGTGTTTGGACATCACCTTCCCGTCTTCGTGGAATTATGCTCAGGGCCGACTGGGTTGTTTGGCTGTACCAACGCTTGATAGAGTGCAGAACAAGCAATAAATTCCCTTGAGTGTAAAACAGCTGCAAAACAGAACCTAAATGAGCGGTAAAGTAAGCTGCCTAGTGAAACCATAGAGGAACTAGAAATCCTAGAAAGGTCAGGTTGGAAGGGACACCGAACAGCCAGCCAGTTATTCCAGTTCTCTGGCAGGATCATGTACCCTGAGAGCATCCTTGGCAGATGTTCTCGTTAGGAACAAGCTAACTTGTTCTTAAAAGCCCTCGTCATTAGAAAGCCTTTTCCCTAATACTTTATGTAAAACTTCTTTGCTGCCAGTTGAACCAGCTCCCACGGGAGATGGAAGAACATGATGTCTGTCCTCTCTTTAAGACCCATTTATGCTTTGGAAAGCTTTTATCATGTCTCCCCTCAGTTTTCTGTTCCAAACAGAAGCTTGTTCTCCTTCTTACCGGTCTTGTTGTTCTCCTCTGGACTCTTTCCAGTTTGTCT